AATTCTATTACCTTTGCAGCTATCTTAGTGTCCGTGAAACGGAAGATGGCGGACGGTAAACGAAAAGCTAGAGGCGCATTTGCTAATGTCCTTTACCTGTGGTGCCGGCGCGACATCAATCTCGCCTTGAAATGCAACGATTATAAGGCAGCTGCGCCTTCAACTTTCCTGTACTGTTGTGAAACCTGGATCACCAGGTCATGAGACATAGAGGCTATCTAAGTTTGACTACCGCTGCCTTCGCAGCTTAGCTCATGTCTGGTGGGAGCACCGCGTTAGCAGTGAGGGTGTTCCGCATCTCGTGTTTGTGCAGGAAAAGCGAGTGAACCGCTCGGCACCGTTATATCACGCACCCTACTCCCATGTCTGGACCACGTGTTGAGTATGCCAGCACACCGACACCCGCATCGTGCGTTGTTAGCGCGCCGGAGATGTGGATGGGAGAAGAGGAGTGAAGGCCAAGTGATGACTTGGTCCAGAGGTATGAAATCCCTCCGATGGCACCATCGCAGACCGCAGTAGTTTGGAGGGGTCATTTTGAAGCACTCGTTGTATGTGAATGGACTGTGATCCACAACCTCGATGTTGACCACGAGACTCGCATTGAAATAAGGCTTAATTAATTCCATCAGTGAAGCAACAGAAATTAAACGGTAGCTTGTTTTTTGTGTACTTAGCTAACCTTTACAACCGTGTCTTATCACACAGTACTCTTTTAATCGGTCAGTTAATTAGCAACTTCGGTTTTATTATCTTCTCATTTGAAGACGATATATTGTCTTCGCATACTGCACGTAAGATAATAGCGCCTTCACTTGTCGTTGATAACACGGCCCAGGTTTCTGCGACTGCGGTAGCAGTTGCTTTGACGATGAAACCAAAATGTGAGCTGTCGACGGAGGCACTTGTGCTGCTTTACTTATACTACCTGACTGGTTTCGGATTCAGTTCTAGTCACTGTCAAATGTAATTAGCTGCGTCACACACATAGGACCTTTACGTTGCTTTTGTTTTTAGCTCGCGTTGACTGCGGCTCAGAGGCTGTGGGAAGGAGATACCTCAAGCGCATTGCCTTAAATGCGGATATGGTTAGCGTCAATTGGGACGTGAATGCTCGAGCACATGGGTAATAATCTAGATTACAGGACCCTTTGTGGATCACTGCTTGTTGCCGTACGAATTGCGACCATTTCATTCAACACTATTCCAGCTACCATTTTTGCATCTTCACCTTCCATCGCAAAAGCTGGCATCAGCGCCGGACGAAACGATGTTCTGGGGTCAACTACCTAGCCACCATCTACACAAAGCACATATTAGTACAGATTGTCGTTCATTTTGAAGCGTATGCTTGTATTTTATCCTTTCCTTTAGCTTCCTTACTCGACGCTCACGTTTACAGTTTCTGAGAAATGTCGACATCCCGGTTTACTCATTTGTTAGCGATAACTCACCATTTACCATACAATCGCACTGTCATTTTGATGTTGAATATATATTCTAAATCCATTTAAATCACTACGAATAATGCTGCAGTTGCAGTTTGTAAAACTGCTTTGTTTTATCCGAATAATGATGGCTCTATGGGATGTTGCTTTGATTAGACTGTCGGATAAATGCGCTGAGTGACTTGCTGCAAGCTATCCTCCACACAGTGAGGCGCAATCTGATTATGATTCTCAACAGCGATACGGAGCGTAAGTTAGTTGTACAAGGACAAGGGATAGGCGCCAGTGCTAGCAGGCAGAACCGAGTACTTTTGCTAAACATCCGAAAAAGACACTCACAAGGAGGCCCGAGGAAGAGACAATAGTTGGGATATAGACTGTGAGTTCATGCTCATGCGTACTAGTTTGAGCGTTTCGGCGGACGAAATCTGAGGCTTATTTGTTCCCCGTAGAACCATATGATCGCAACTAGGTCATGAGTGTCGAGGCGTTTAGACTCAATAATTTCTTCTCCTAATTGCTAGAATTTGGTGAGGGCTGCGTTATGATAGAGATTCACGATTCTTAACATTTTGGAATACCATGCATTGGCATCTTTGGGCAAACAATTAGCACCGATCAATCTCGCATGTCCCACGCGATTGTACCATCGATCTTAGAACTTCTTTCAGAGTTACATTTCACGAGCTGGGTTGGTGTTATAATCTTCCTAATTGTCGCGATTCCGAAATATGCGCCTTACTGTTCCCCAAGACCCCTAGTCCATCCGAAATAAAAGTTAGAACGCTAATGACCTCAACAAAATACCGCGTTAACCGTCGCCAAATAACACGTACAACTGCAGCACACCTTGGTTGTATTTATAGGTCGCTTACTGACCTACAACTTCCAGGATGGGAAAGTCGTCTGTCAAATTCAGTAGTGTCATGCCGATCGAGCCAATCTTAAGGAGGCTGGTAGTCACGTGCAAGCCTTAGAAAATTCCAGAACTTTCGAAATCGGTGCAATAATCGGTAACTGTCGATTACTTGCTGAATTAACGGCTTTTCCTGGGGAATTCTTATCATTTCCCCGACAGATGGATTGTTATTTGTCATTATTAAATTTGATGGCATAACTGCCACTCGCTCCACCACACTGTGATTCCTGGCAAACACCAAACTGCTGTATAGTCATGTCAACAATCTTCGCAAAGTGAAGCATAGCATCCCTCCACTTTTCACGACAGGCGGTAGAGTACAAAAGTCCGACGAAGCACTTAATGCCCTGCAGCTACAATACGCCCCGATTTTAGAACTTGCTGCCTCTACCTGTCCGATAACCTCATGCTTTTTATGGCATTTCTCCCTATAGTTCACAACCTACATAGCACAGCCTAGTCCGGAAAAGCACCAGACGCATTTCGCCCTATTGGGGCTCGTCAGTGGTGCACATTCCCTCTGTCCCTTACTGGGGATCGAACCCATGACTGGTAGAAGCAGATGCCAACCAGCCAGCAACATAAGTCATTGAACCATGGGGCAGTTAGCTTGACTACCTAATTTGCAAACTAACTGGGATATAGCACCATCTATCTTCCACTGCCACTGATAGTGGCTAGCCTGCGAGGTGATGATCCTCTCATTAGACGCTATATGATAGCATTTCGAAACAAGGGAGGCTCTTTATTTTCTATTACTCGTAAGTAGCGGGATTTTAGTTGTACTTTTTGTAGGACAATCATGTTACGTAATCGTCAATCCAGCAATTGAAGCAGTGAAGTTACTGTCACTGCGCGATCATCGCTCTCCGGGAGCAGATAACGTCCGCCCGAGAGCACTGAAGGCTGCGGCCTCCAAGCTGGCTGAACCACTGCCACAGTTCTTCCAGATGTGTTTTGATGAAAAGCGTCACTACTATGCGGAAGTGTCGCATTATAACCAATTATTAGCGTCGGTAGTCGTTCATATCCTGCAAACTATCGCTCAATGACTCTCCTTCCCGTACTAGCGGAGGTGGTAGAAGCGGTCGTCGTTGAGACTCTAATGGATTAACTTGAAAAATGCAACATCTTGGCACCGGAGCAGCATGGCTTCCGTCAACACCGGTCATGCACTAGTAACCTGTTGATTGCACGAGGTAGTTGTACGGAACTGGCTGATGATGGGGTCGGAGTTTACGTCATCTGTCTGGAATTCTCCAAAGCTTTCGACCGCCTGGGTCACCGCATCCTACTTCATAGGCTACAGGGCTACGGAACCGGAGATCCTGTGCTTGGTTGAATTGGCAACTTTCTTCACCAACGGAAGCTTCAAGTGCGTGTTAGGGGATAACTGTCTAATCCGATTGAGGTGGAATGTGGTGTCCCACAGAGCTCGGTGCTGGGACCGCGCTTATTCCTGGTGTTTTTATCAGCGACCTAGAAAAACTTCTCGAGTTTCTGCTTTTCGCTGATCATGTCAAGATATGGCGGCGGTTAATAACAATGAAAATCACAATCTACTCCAACATTACCTATATTGCATTTATGAATGGTCAAAGAAGAACTTGCTTCAATTAATCATAACTGAGTGCAAGGTGATCTATCTACGTCACTAGCCGGTGAGCGATTAGAAGGTTGGAGACCACACCTTGCAGAAGGCCTCTCAGGAGCGTGACCTGGGTGTACTGGTACAGGAAAATCTCGGGCGTTCAAGACAAGCAGAGAAGGCGACGAGAATCGGCAATCATTTGGCCTTCTTCACAGAGCGTTCGGTCGATTTGAACCCTTAATTTTTCCCCAAGTGCCTAACGCCTACGTGTGACCACACGTAGAATATGCTATCCAGGCGTGACAGAAACAGAATCTCGTTGTTCTCGAGACTCCTCAAAGAAGGGCAACCAAATCGTTAGGGGTCTCTTTCATCTGCCTCGTCAGCTTAGACTGAAATCTCTAAGAATGTACAGCAGTCTATATCGGCGTTTGCGGGGCATCTCATAATGGTTTACCAGATTCTGATGAACCCAAACCACATTTGCCACCCGCTGCTGGAATCGAATCACAACGCTAATCTAAATGGTCATCCTCTGAAACTGACAATACAGTATAGCTGGTTTGTATGCCTCCGAAATTTCTTTTTCCTTGGCATGTGCCACCCTTGGAACGCTTTTCTTAATAATGTCATCCCTGCTCTCAATCTGACGATATCTAAAAAACCAATTGACGATGCATTGTCTCATTTGCATTTCACTTTATGAATTACGTTACCCAGGGGCTACAAAACACAATCAAACGGTGTCTTGCCAAAATCCCAAGCAATGGTTTTTAATGCGCGAGCATCTCCGCTATTCAACATAAGTCTGTGATGAGTCTACCAAAGCCCTTTTCACCTTATCATGTAATTTTATTTTCGCAATAATTTCCATCCCCTGGGACTTGTTAAGCATTTATTTTTTTCTACCCGTAATACACCATTGTTCCATTTCGTTCGTACACACGGATTCTTTCTTTCCACTTATTGACTACTTCGGTCCAAAAGCACTTTCCCGCACCCCAAATCCTAACGTACCTTACACTTGCTTTTAAAAGAATTGTAACACTGGCATTGAGGTCGTTTTATTTTTTTACCTGGCACATCGTCTAATCATTTTCACCGTGAATGATCGTGTATCGGTTTGCGTTGATGACCAGGTAGCCTCTATTGCCGAGTGAGCTCTTCCATTGGAGGACAACAGTGCGTACTTCTTAGTCATCCATACTGAAAAATTTGTGTGGGCTGCCAAATACGAGTTTTCCTTAAATTATCGGGAATTCAGCGCTGTTCAGTTCTTGGTTCTTCTTCATCTAAAAACAAACTTCAAAATTGTTAACACATCTCACATTTCTGCATGTCGTTTATCCATAGCCTGAGGTTGTCTCTTAAAAGTTGCATAATAAGGGTTGAGTCTTTGTAATTTTCTTCTGAAATGTTATCTAATTCTGCGATTGCATCATCAAATGCTTGTTTTGCGAGTTTGCAGGCACGATCAGCAGAATGGACTATTTCATAGTAGAAAACAGCGAAATTTAACGCAACACCAAGTCGCATAGGATGGGTTGGTCTTAGTCCTGAGCAAGCTATTTCATACGCTTCTTTGTATGCAGCAAGGCTATATTCCGCAGCGTCGTTTTTGTCATTTCCTTCTTCGAATTCCGCAAGGTAGCGAAAGTAGTCCGCGCGCCTTTTCCGTTAGGCAGTAACAGACAATAACTTACAGCTTCAGGTAGAATACCTTAGATTCAGGCGCTGTATCTGCCTTTACAAGATAATTTTCAATCAGACCGATCATGGTGTGCGATGCTTGACGCATTTCTGATTCGACTTGCTTTTTGAAGATCTTGTCATATTTCACAAAGGGAGAAAGTTCCTTTTCATCCTTCTCTACTGCAGCAGTAATTACTTTCAGGGCCGATCGTTTTGGCCCAATTAGATGTTTGTGGCTCAATGAAAATAGATTCCTCTCCTCTGGTGATAAGTCAGATCCAAGTTTTACGATCTTATTCATATAGGCAGCCATTTCTACATCATGTATGTTAACAACTTCAAATTGCATCTACCTTCATAGCGCTCTGTTTGTTCTGCCAGTTTCGCTCTGAACAGCAATTCTTCTCGGCTTCCCATTTTGTTTAAATCTCAGCTTGCTGCTGCAATTTGATATGTATTCTAATCCAATTAGGGTGTGGAGAATCGTAATAGACAGAAACCAAGTGGTTAGCATGGTGTTAATCCAAGCAAATACACAATCGAGATGTATCATAGGTAAGTGGTGTTTGAAAGTAGCGAGAGCAGATCAAATAACCGTAAACAAACGTGTAACTGTACCGGCATAACATTTTCGTCAGCCAAGGATTTGCTGCAGTAATAAAAGACGAGTGATCGACATTCAGGCAATGTGTAAGAGCACACCTTTTAACCTGTCCTAACTTTTTCTGTGGATACAAAATTACCAACAGAATATAGAGTTTACATGAATGAAGATTAAGCATTCGTTTTGGATGCTGATGTGGCGCGCACTTAGGCTGGTTTTGCTTTCAACAACGGTGTAAGCCATTTCTTAACAATCCATTGTGTGGTTCACTAGTTAATAAACCGAGCGCCCAGTACCTCGGCGTCTAGATTCTCTTTATTATTGCGGTAAACTGGAATGAGCTAATTCAGTCCACTTCATTGATTTTCTTAAGCTCATTTCTCGACCATGGAATGTGGTTCATAGTGTCTGCTAATCTTACTAACAATCCGGAAACATTTTTGATGTATGTCTGCCATAAACCTGTCCATTAAGGCAAGGGGAAGTTTATTAGCTGTTACTGCGCAACTCGTGAAAAACATCTTTATGATCTGCAGTCTTTCAGCCGTACGCCGTAACGTGGTTTCGCTGCCATGCGACCACCACCAGTCGCGCGCGGGCTGTATACCGCAAGGACCCCCACCCCTACGCGGATTCGAACCGGTAACCTTACGGTTGCAAACCAGGCACGCAGACCACTCGATCACCGGCCGACTTTTCAGTCTTTTGACTGTTTGTGCTTTGAACAATAACCAACTGCATAAACGTCGTCTAAAGCACATGTAGCTTGTCGGGTCACTACACAACTGATCCCACTGATTTAGTGTAAAGGATTCAACGACGTTTCTATCTGTCCCTGTGCACGTTTCGTGAAATGAGCAATAACTAGAAGGAGAAATCGAAGGTAAGGAAGACGGATTACGTGATTTCAGAAGGGTTTGAAAACAACGACTCGGTGTATTTAATTAGCACCTTTTCACTTTTTGCGCACAAGATTCGTCAGGCCAGGTGGACCGGAATTTATGGTCAGCTGATAGGATAATCATGACAATCTAGGATGTAAGCAGCGGGATAATCTCCTTACGGACCAAAGTGTCAACTGGCACATTACTGATGGTTAATAATAATAATAGTACCAGCTGTACGTCGTAACAGCGCTTCGCTGCCACGTGACCACCACCAGTCGCGCGCGGTTTGAGTATACCGCGAGGACGCCCACCCTTACGCGAATTCGAACCGGTGACCTCATGGTTGGAATCCAGGAGTGTAGAGCACTCGGTCACCTATCGGTGTAGAGGTTCTGAAGATAGATCAGTTAACCCAAAGATAAGACCGACGCTTAAAGGAAAGTGCAGGAAAGAAAGTCGAACTATGAAGAGGAGTCTTGGTTAAATATATGTCAACGATGTCTGAACACGGCATAATGGAAGAATACATGCGCCCAGAGGTGAGGTGCAAGTAAATACACTTACGAAAATGGGTAAGTTAGCATTGACGGGGACAAACTAGGCAGTACTTATGAGTCCATGTACTTGATAAGGAGGTACTCCAACTGATGAAACGGCAGTTGTAGCGTAAGCTCACGAAGAACTGCCCTAAAACTATCTGGCGCAGAGTTTCTACAAAGATCAGCCTAGTAAGGCTCAGGGAGGCTGGATTCCCCCAGTACCAGGTACCAGTTGGCAGTGCAAGCGCGAAAAAAATCTAGCAACTAGGACGCAATAAGAGATTTTATATCCTACTACAACTAACTTGCAGCGAAGAGGCACCGATCGCATCTGAGGGAGCTTTCCAATTTGTCTACCGCTTGAACCTAACAGGCTCCTAAGACCAAATTTACAGCTGATGCATAAAATGACAAATGGTGTAGAAAGTGAACAGCCAAGTATATTCACCCTAATAACATAGTGCAACATCATTTTTATCACTGAAATGAGATAGCATGCTTCTACAGGGTGTCTTATTGATCGGGTCCGGAGCTAAGTGCGCCAGCACTCAGGTGCTGACGTACACCGGTACGCTGAATTGCTAACTGTCCAATGGCTCAAATTGCTTTGCTGGCAGGGGTGAGATGGGATACAGACGCGACATGTGTGCCTCCGATTGCAGGGCACACCGAGCCGTTCGGCTGTGAGAAGTGTACGTTAGCAGACACCACGGTCGAAATCGACCTGTCATGCCTGGATTGCAGGGTAAGACCAAGGAAACACACCGTTCGGCTGTGAGAACTGAGCGTTAGCCAGCCATCACAACCGCAATGAATGCGTGCTGCCTAGATCGCAGGGCAAGACCAACAGAACGCAAGCCGTTGTTCTGTGATAACTGGACGTTAGCCAGACACCACAGCCACACTGAATGTGTCATGCTTCGATCGATCGGTAGTCGGCCTTCACGCAGGTGAAAAGCCAGCAAAGCGGCTCCCTGCGAAGTGTTTACTGGGTCGCTGTGCTAGCAAGTGCGTAAAACAGCCTGGCCGGATGTGATGACCGGTCGATGGACGTCGTATTGCTATCGCCACGAAAGCTGTTAGCAACTCATGACTGGCTTCCAACAAACCCTAATGCTTTTATTAGGCTGCTTTCGCTGTTAAAGGGAATCATACTGCTGGGAGCAACTTGTATGGTTACAGTGTTGTTCGCTTTACCGTTTCGATCGCGTTTGTGTTACAGCTAAAAATGCACCCTTCATTGGTGCATAAAAACGAATTCTTGACTTGACATGACAATGCTCTTGGATTTCAATCTGTCCCGACGTACTGGTGACATCATTAGACAACACACCAATTCACTCATGAATGCAGCTACTGCCCCCACAGTCAGACAATTGATAGTTGTACAAATTGATCAAGCTTTCGGTGGTGTTTCTTGTGTACAATAGAGCATGTACATTTATTTATTTATTTACTTATATTTACAAGAAATGTGTGAAATGTCTGCAAAAAGCACCGAGTTAGGTGTTTGCAACATCAAACAAAGCGGACGATGTCACACCGTAATGGATGAAGTATCCGCTTTCGCGGTTGCACAAGTATATATATATATATATATATATATATATATATATATTTGCAAAAGTCTGTTAACAGACATAATGCCATCAGAAACCATGGGATTCAAACGAAGGTACAGAAACAGTAAAACAAAACACAACACAACAATGTCCATGGTTTCCTCAGAGGGCGAGATACTACCCGGTTGCCCAAGCCGAAGTAGGGTGTTGACTTAGGGGACACCACCCCGAGCCTTTGGCTGAATAGCCTGCCCGCAAGGCAGCGGAGCGAATTCAGGGAATCGCGCCCATTGGGAGCCGGTGACTGATTGCTCAGTTCATACGCCTTTTGTTTGTTCCTTTGTCAAGTGGTCTGCAGTAACAGCCATCGCATCATTCGGCAACTCGCACGACCTTTCAAAACCACACCGTACGATGCTCCTCGGATATTTAAGTGAAAAAATATTCCGGCGGTACAGTGCGCTGCAGGTGCAAGTGTTGGTCATACGCGATTCACAGAAGCGCCTGGAAGTTGCCCGTTTGTATTTAAACAGTCTAGAGGTGCATTACATTTTATTCACCGGCGAGGCGGTGTTCCCTCTGCATGGCGAAGGTAGGCAACATGTTTGGGCAACCACCAACCCCCGGCAATGTAGCGCTTCACGTGTGTAACATGGCGCGAAGTTCATGGTCTGGGCTGGGTTGCCTGGTAGAAAAATCATTCGGCCCTTTTTCTTTTCTAGGTGTCCGGTAGGTTATTGTTTAACAGTACCAATGTTTGACATTTCTTAGCATCCTCGCCAGCGCCATCGGGCGAATGCTCCTCTGTAGCCAAAACGTCGGACGGCACTTCGAACACCCAATTCGTTGACTTTTTGCCGACATTTCACACATTTCTTGTAAATACAAGTACATAAACGAATAAATATATATGCTCCATTGTACACAAGAAACACAACCGAAGGCCTGATCAATTTGTACAACTATCAATTGTCTGACTATGGGGGCAGTAGCTGCATTCATGAGTAGCACAAGAGGCAAGGCAAGATGCCCTTTGTAATCCCCATAGTGTGGAGATAGCCGACACGACAGACTGCTAATTCTGCCTAACAATGTCATTGGAATCTCCAACCTTAGCCAGAACAAAATACATTCCCCTGATCTTCCGTCAGCTATTCGACATGTTCGTCATGATTGCACTTTACGCATTCCAGTGCCTCCAGTGAACAAGTCACTGATGATGAGTACTGATTCCGCATCGCCAAGTTCCTCTGATTCTGACATCTGAAAACTTTGAATCTGATGTTGTCAACAGACGTCTTATTGAACAATCAGAGCTGAATGGCTTGTTACGTGACCTGGGCTTGCCTAAAGACAAGCCCGAGCTATTGGCATCTCAGCTGCAGCAGTGGCACTTACTTGCTGCATATATTAAGGTTATTGTATACCGAAAGCGAAGTGTTACATTGTCCGGTTTCTATGACACGAAGAAACTTTTTGTTACTGTTCCAACGTGGAAGGGCTGGTGAAAGAGCTTGACGCAAGGCTTATCAGTGATGAATGACGTTTGTTCATTGACTTGTCCAAGAGTAGTCTTAAGGCCCTACTGCTCCACAAAGAAAATGTATACCCAACTGTGCCTCTGTTGCATAGCACCCATATGAAGGAGACTTACGAAAGTATGCAACAGATATTCACTGCACTGAACTACGATAAGTACTGTTGGAACATCTGTGCTGACTTCAAAGTCATTGGACTCCTAATGCGTATGCAAGCAGGCTTCACAAAATATTGCTGTTTCTTGTGCTTATGGAGAGTAGAGCAACACAACATCACTACACAACCGAAAAGTAGCCAGCGAGGACAGAGTATGCTGCAGGGAAAATGA